AAAATAAAAACTTACTGGAGAAAAGCTAGAATGAAAGGTCAACCGCCCCAACCCAAAGTGACCTTTTTGTTCGGATTGCGTTTGGGCAAACCTGGCTGAAGTATAAGCCCTAATTGGTAATTACATTAGGGTCTTATCAATAGGGATGGCAATTTCACGAGAATTTTCGGGTATTCAAACCGTTCTGACCCTAATAGGACCCGTTTATCAAAATCCTATAAGGTTTAGGACGGATTTAGAATTTTAGATCGAACCTAAGGGTTTGGGTTTTGACTTTAGGGTATCCCATACTTGATACCTAGGATGCATAAATATAAACCTACTATATTATATATCATCCACAAATTTATAAATTTTAAGTATTAAGATAATTATTCTATTATTAATATTTTATTTATATAAATTTCTTGGAATTAAAATCATTGTAAGTTTGGATTTGTCGATGTTCCATTTACAGCCTTACTCGGCAGTACTCGCACTGGATAGCACTTTGGCGATGTTCACACTTCACAGGCAATTACTTTTTTACCCAAAATATCAATCCGTTAAGGGATGAATCGCCGACTGAAAAGTTTATTACTTTGTCGTTAGTGAATAAGTTTTTAAGAGGTTGTAGGGCTCCTTCATGACTGCAGGTGAAATAAATTGGGTAGTTGAATACACCCTTCAAAATTTTATTATTATTTATTTTATCAATTAAAAGACAAAATAATAAGTTTTTCAATTCATCAATTTCAGCCATTATCAAATTGCTCCCAAGCGGATGCTCAACATATGGCTCTTTGATCGGTTCCTGGCTACATTTTCGATACTAGAACTAAAGTTAAAGCCCAAACTTCAGGGGTGCAATTTGGGCAAACTCAAAACTTGAGCCCGGCCAATTCAGCCCACTGGACTTTAATGTTCAATCCTTTGGCTGAGAAAGGGCCTAAAATTTTGGGCTTTTTGACTTTTTGATTTGAGTCCAGCCTATAACTTTAGCCCAACCTAAATACAAGGGCTCTAGACTATAAATAAATATCTGTATATACACATACATATATAAATATGCATGTCTGTATATATATAAAATTTCAATAAAGGTGGATTAATCTTAAACCAGGCCTAGCCTGCCTGACTGACATGCATCCCTATCAAACTTACATCAGACCATTCTTGAATGGGATGGTATGTGTATGTGGTGTTTCTGAATTTGAAAAAATAAATAAATATAAAGAAGAAGAAGAAAAAAGAAAAAGGATTGTATGTGCTCGAACTATCAAGATCCATTCCGTTTACAATGTTACAAAGCACTCTAAATTTTTAGTTTTCTTTTTTTTTTTAAGTAAAATTTATTACCTCTTTTTTTCTTTTTCTTTGGTTCCATGGGCTAGACAACAACGGGGCATAAGAGTTGAGGTCTAAAGCAAGGTCTTAAATTTTGGAAATTTCGTCTATTTTATTAATGTTGTTATCATTAATATTTTGCATATTGTATAGTATTATGCATTTATATTATCTATTTTGTGGGTTTTGTATGAAAAATATAAATCTCAAAATAAATTATCCAATGTTTATATATAAAATTCTTTTCAACCAAGGTGGGTATTTCCAGTCAAACCTGGATGTCCCCCCCAATCCCCTACACGTTAAGAGATAAGAGTGGACTGTCTGAAAGAGGCTAAAATGTGCCCAATCTCAAAGCCCAGCCCAACCCAACCCAACCCAACCGATGGTCCTTACTCCTGCAACATCAAGAAGTCCCGTAGGTGGTACTTGGTAGAATTCATTTTTAGAATATTGTTTGTTGTATTCTCTGTATGGGCGGGCGAAAAAATGCTCGAGAGTCGAGATACTTACAATTACGGACTTTTAGCTCCAGCTCCGAACCGTAGATTCAACTCTGCAACGGGGGATCAAAAATCCACCACTAATTGGGACCCACCTAATTGGTTATATCGGACCAAAAGTTGGATGATTGCAAATTGCAACTGACCGAGTTAATGCCGTCGTCGTCATCATCTATCATCTATATGGTGGAAAACAACTTCAATATACAACTCCATGTGATTCAACCAGGATAAATTTTGGCATATCAATGGTAGTTCTGATCCTCTCTGTTATGCCTGTGGTGTGGTTAAAAAGCTCGATAGACCTAAAAGTTGAAGAATATAAGCTAGAGCTTTCTGCAGAAAAATAGAGCCAAGCAATAAGCATCCATTGATGGATGATACATGTGGGCACTGGTCAGGCTCAGACACCATGATGATTGAGTTTGAGGCTATCTCACTTCTTTCAGAATAAATATATATACGCACTCTAAAACTCTTTTTTCTTTTTGCCATTTACAAAACCTTTTTGATTACCTTTGCAGTGTCGTTCAGATCCACTCCAAGTATACAATTACGGACTGTCTCTGGAGTCTCTGGACAATGGACATAGAGAAAACAATTACCTTTCCAAATGGTTTGACCGAATGACCAATTGACCATTCCCTGTAAAGCAAAGAAAATGATAAAGAGAGAGAGAGAGAGAGAAAAGGTGAAAAAGCTGGGACCAGGGAAAGGTCGTTTTCCAAAAGTGGATTTTGGGTAACCGAGCTGCTGCTGGTGGGTAATGGTGTGGTGATGCTAGTAATACTGATAGCACTGCTTTGGCCTTAGACCAAATTCATACTTGTAGAGTGTGCCAAGTGGAAAGAAATTACAGTTATAGTTTCAGAAATTATGCTAACATAACAATCCAGATAAGTTCATTGTCTCCACCTGTATTGCATGCATCCTGAATTCCTGATGGCCCTGCCCTAGCCCCTAGGGTGGCACTCAGTGATCACTCATCACTCAACACTCAACAGACAGCCAGGGCTTGACTGGGCCGGGCTCAGGCTTTTTGAAGAGGCAATACCAACTACGGTCTACAGGCTTCCGGCTTCCTACCTGTTGGATGAATCTGAATCTTGCATTTGGATTAGGTTGGATAGCAACCTGACTGGCCTAACATGACCAGAAAAGCTACAATATATGTAAGTGGATCATCTTGTCTTGGGTGTATCATCATCCTGTCTGTGTCCGATGAAGCTGTTGATGCACATGCACGACCCGACCGACACCACACCACACAAAATTTGCTACTAACAACTCGCTTCATCACTTCAGACTTGAGAGGAGACCCAGTTCAAAATCAAATCTGCAGACCAGCAGCAAGTTGGGAGTTCCATCGCCTTGTGAATCCTACCAGTCATTGTCAGTTCAAGTGGCCTAGTGTTTATTCTTGCTCTTGGGTCAAACATGGACCAACCCTAGCCCCTACTACAATAATACTATTGCTATTGGTCAATCCCAGGACCCAGCTTAAACTAAAGTTACCATCAAAGAGCATTTCCACATGCTAGAAAGTAGAATCCCCATTGACAGCGATCATATTTTTGGTTCTTTTGTATTTTGTCCCTGAAAAGCCTCAACTTACATATCGTAGTAGTCTTTACCATTTGTTTCTTGGTCAAGGATTTATAGGAAAGTTGGACTCCTCTCACACAATATTTTAAAAACCGATTTGAAGGTCAAAAAAGTTTTTTTTTTTTTTTTTTTGCAAAAATAGCGGGATAAAGCACCTACGTCTCTTGGGAGTTGGGATGCATAGATCTTGAAAAGTTACTCGAAATATAAAAAAAAGAAATCAAACATCAGAGTGAAAAATTATAATCGGGTCGAATGGATCAACAGTTGAACTGGCCAGGTCAAACAGTTCTTGACCAATTTAACAGTTTTGACCATCTAACGGGTCTTAACTGAATCAGACCCGGAATCTTGACTGAGTGATAGTTCAAATGGTTCGATCAGCCAGGTCAATCATAGGTTGAAAACACTGCTCTCACATATGAAATATCCTTATTTTATTGAGCATATTTAGTCCAGGCAAAATAAAACTTGGAGAGATGGACCAAGTGACTGATCTTGAAATTGTACATCCATGCTTAGCTAAGAGATGAACCACCTTGTTGCCAAAGAAGGAGACTGAGACATTTGAGAATTCGTGCAAAAGACCCCTGCAATCAGCGATGAATGGGTGGAGTCGCCAAAGAACCCCCGAGTCCCTGACTGAGGACGTGAGGATTTAACAGGCACAAACAATCTCCTGTGCATCTCCTTCAATAAAAAAGTGTTCAATATTTAGAGCTTTTGTCATGCGAAGGCCCTCCCTTAAAAGCCTTAACAATTCCAATTCCAGAGCAATCCTCATTCTCTTGAATTGTAATAGCAACACATTGTAATTCCAATTCCTGCTGGGTCAACGACCGATTGAAAACATTTTGGGAAATCTATTGCTACTATTATTGTCGAAAAAACAAACCTATCAGAAAATCCTTTTCTGTATCGTATTCGTTTCTTTGTACCCTCTCTAAAGTTTGAACATTGAAACAAGGAATTAGACAGTAAAAATCCTATCGTTCTTTCATTGAATTCGGCTTACGGCACCAGGCACCTAGATGAGACTCACAGACGTGTGCGGTGTTCCATTCACCTTCCCTGCACCTGGGTTCACACAGTGGCTAGCCATCTAGTTATGAGGTTCATATTACAATTTCCAGTCTAGTTTCATGATTTAGCCACCCGGGCTAAAACTAGGTCATGTCAATGTCCAGTCCAGTCCAATATGCAGCTACCTTCGTGAAGAAAAAAATTTGACAAGCAACTTGAAACTGTATGCAAAAGATCTAGGAAATATTTTCTTTTACCGGTTTTAAAGTTGGCAAGTTCAAATGGATGATCAAACCTTCTATACACCCTTAAGCAGCTTGACGTCTGGACAGGATTTCTAACATTGATTCAGATCAATACATTTAAAATCCAGTTCTCTTTTGGAACACCACTATTCTTTTTTTTTTCATCTCCTTGTAACAACCGCATTACTTTAGATCCAAATATATAAATAGCTGAACATCGACAGAAGAAAAAAAAAAATCTTTGGGAAAATCCAAAGGTTTGAACCACATTCTAGTTTTTAATATATAAGCACAGTAATAAAAACACAATGGACGCTTTAACTATATTATTGATCATATGATACATTTTTTTTTCTAATAATAGTTTAAAAGACAAAAAATATAGAAGACTGGAAGTACAACTACTTCCTTTATTTATTTATTTATGGATGAACAAGTTTATTCATGCACTATTATCAATATCACTAGCTTCTGGGATAGGACCACTATTTGCTCCAGACTGCATACTTGTGGCCACAGGTGGCAAGTGTCCACTCTCTGCCAGCTGGGCACCACGACCCATCTCCAATTTTCATGCACAATTTCTCCCCTATGATTGCAGAGTAGAGATTAGGCTGGGCCTCAAATATCCTGATTGAAGATCGGCTGTGAATGTCTTGACGTTTTCTAATGTCCATCTACAAAGAACCGAAGAAGTTTAAGACTATAAACCCAGCACAAACAGATGCTTTGATGAAAAAGCGTTTCAAAGCGTACCAGCTTCGCAATTTGGTCATGAGTGGAGTCACCCCAATCATAAAAATGGTCATAAAATACAGCAGGTATTCCTGGATGTGTCAGTATGTATGCATAGCCCTGTATAATATCATGGGCACCATAGATAGTAAGTAAACGAAAGAAACGCATGCATTTCATTAACCGTAGTCGAAGTTAATAGAAACAGAGATCGCGTTTTTTAGTAAACCAGAAATCCTAGCCTTAATATCTTGGTTAACTATTTTAATGAAGGACAATAGATAGAATTTGATATTCTAAATGCCAGCAGTAAGGCTTGGCACATCCATGCTCTGAACCAGACTGCTTAATTTTTAGGCAACCTTTCACAAGGACCATATAGCTGAAAGGATCACGATTGTTTTTCAATCAATGCTCGGCCCAGACATTAATAGGTCTAGTGTTAGACCAACTTACTGGTGGACAATACATATGTAATGGCATCCAGAAGATACAACTATTGTCTCCAAAAGAAAATAGTACAGGAGTATGGGCAATCTGATAAACAAGAAGAGAATTTCTGTCTCTGCCCCTGCTCATAATGTACATCTATGTTGCATTTATACAGATGCAGGCATTGATCTAGATTGCAAGGTGGGTCAAAAATGCATTTTAAAATGTTAAGGGAAATGAATGAGGACTCTATCTATCTATAAGGATTACAATGGGAATAGTGACACTTCACATCCATCTGCATCAAATCCCAGAAGAAAAGTAATTTCAGGATTTGAAATTATATTTTGAAATATTAAAAGGAAAAAATGTATGAGAACAAGACTGACAAAATTAGTTTCCACAAGTCGGGTAAAGGATATAATAAATAAGATAGGCAAATGAAATCAAATCTATGTTCTGATAATTAAATAAAAAGAAATAAGATGAATGACAAATCCAAAAAAATCAAACTAAAATCCAGCATGCCTTGACACAGGAAGTTACCCAATAAAAGAATCCATGTAACATGGATAAGTAGTGCACCTACCATAGATTATTATGCTTGTCCAACAAAAATAAAAGAAATTCTTGAAATAAAAAACTAATTCAGAAAGACCCGAGGATAAAAGTTCCATACCTCCATGATATGACTAGCAGGAAAAGGCCAATGAGCCTGTAGGATTGAAATAATATACCATGGATTAATAAATATCAGAATTTGAAAATTGAAATCTTGATTAAGAAAACTTTATTAACAAAGATATGGGTAATTTCTAACAGAAGAAAATATGAATATGAAAAAGAAACATGAAGACTATTTTGCCTGTTAAACCAGTAATCACAATGTCTAGAATAATTGTGTCAAATTGCTTTAAAGTATTCTGGTTTATAGTCATTTAGATGCTTCCAAAGAATGCAAGTGAGTCAATTGTGGGCCTTTCTCCCAGGTTGGGAGCACATAATAATAATCTAAGAGGATACTGCATGTAGGTTATGTGCATCAAATTATAAGTTACATCCTCCTGCTATCACAGGCTATGTAAATAAACCTATATTCCACAATTATAGAAAAAACTGTCAAACACCTGTGTTGATCCTGTGTCATGGTTATCAATGAATGTGACAGCCCTTGATGGCCACCATCCCATCACGCCTGGTGGCTTCCCTTGAGGGTCACGCAAACGCCATAGTTCTCCTTTGACAGCTTCCTGAATAGTAGAAATGTATCAGGTCTATTTCTTAGAAGGCTTCAAAACAATGTAATTTATTGAAGGAAAATACCTGAAGAATGCCTTTTGTTGTGAAATCAAATGCCGCCGAAAGCCCTCCTGTGTTATCAATCCAATTGATAATCCTCTGTCGATGACTATCTGCATGTTAAAGCTTGTATCAGCATGTAGGCATCTTTGTAGGATGTTGGGAAAACCAACTAAACAAATCCTTATGCCAACTATGTGTTTGGCTACACACATCCTGTTTCACATTTCCACTATATGGTAATTGAGTTGTATATGTACTATTTGCAGCTAAAACTTGGACAAGCTCAAACCAAACTCATCTGGCACAAACCCACCTTAAGTTGGGTAGGGCTGTGATTTCAAGATCTCAAGTTGGCCATGTTCTGGAAAACCCTACTGATCCTAATTCAGGTTTGGGTTGCTATAAAGTACGTACAAATTTTCATCTGTCAAAGTCACCAACCAACAACGAGAAAGATTGGACTCATTTTCTAGTATTGCCAGGGAGCAGTTAAGTCATTGGTACATAAAACTCAAATAACAGTATATAAGCCCCAACAATTCTAGAATACATCTTTTTCCTGAAATGTCATAAAGTAATTAATTGATAGATTAAAATCTTGAATTTTAATAGGTTTACTTTGAATCTTGAATTAATTCATAACCTTTAGGAGTTAATCAATGTAATATTTTTCCACTCAAACCAAAACATTAGATTTGATTTATTGAACCTATTTCCACCATTTCCTTAACTATCCTACAAATCCCAAATGGTCCTAGTTGAAATTTCCGATTCTATAATTTCCTAAGTTCACCTGTTGGCACTTTAATACTGAATTTCAGCCGACCAGGTGTGCATATTTAGATTTCTCCAATCATCCCGCATCACCAAACATGTAAATCCAATGTCCTGTAACTTACCAAACTGTTGGATATATCATTTAAACGATTTTTGAAGTTAGATCTACAAATATAGACCCACTTAGGTGATGTTCTGTTGGCGGTTGAAAATTTTGTGGTATGATTGAAAAAACCAGGCCCCACATTTCTCAAAGTGAAAACTGACTTTTTTGGAACATGCAACCCAAAAGAGGGTTTTCCATACAAGGTTTCAATTTAGGGGGAAAACATTTGTATAATGATTGTAAGTCACGTGCGTATGTAAAGCTCAATCATTACCAATGATTTTTTGTCAACAGACATGCTTGTATGAGTTTGGTTGTAGGTCAAGGAACTTGCCATGTGGTACAGCTTCTGTAGGCTGTGCTCCAAGTAACTTAGCAATTTGAACATTATTATATAATATATGCAAAAAAAGTTGTAAAAACCATAAAGTAGGGGAGGTACACAACCATCTGGTGTGAGAGATACACATTGAATCACCCAATGATGTCATGGTTGAACCAGCCAAAACTCTTTCCTGGTTGAGAACACTAGAATTCCTACAGTTCAAAAAACCCTCTATTCTGGTCAGAACCATGGGATTTCTTGTTCCAGAACCATAAACCCATGTCAAAGAACCCCAATTTGTGGTTTCATGTTCTCGAGCCAGATAGAACACAAAAGCAACCAAATATAAAGTGTTAAATCTCTAGTTTTTCTTTAACCAAGTATAGAAAGCAAGAGCATAAGACATAAAATAATTACTTCAAGCTTCAAATGATCAACTGCAATGCCAGTCTCTGTGAGCTGACACTTAGCTAGCAAGGTTGCATTATTTCCAATTAGTGATAATTGAATTAATAGTTGTAAGCTCAGTTTGTTTGTACTTATATTTTTTTGATCAATACCTGTTATAAAACTTCATTACTATGGGTTAAAAATAATAGTATATATTCGTTTTGGTAGCCAAATGGGCTACACAATGGTGTAACCCTCCCCCAAACCCAGAACCACCTACCCCCCCCCCCCCAAAAAAAAAAAAAAAAACAGGTGATGATGGGATTTGATCCCAAGTCTCCACTACAACCAATCAGAGACCATATCAGCAAGCTAGCTGGAACCTTCAAATGGTATATGTTCAGTGATATGCCAAAGCACCATGTCATTTGGCATAGTTCCACTAGCCATCCATTAGTTTTTCTTAAAATTCCCATCAAGGGATTAAACCTCCAAAATAAATGTTTGTTTGTCCTTACACTGCTTTGTTACTAATGTTCTAAATCATATCAAACATGGTAAGAGTAGAATACCTTGGTTGTAGTCCAGTCGATAACTAGGGGGGCTATAATTGCAAGAATCCCAATACTCCCCTACAGAAAATATTGGCTTTGCTCCCTCAATGTATTCTTTCACATATTTTGCTGCATAGCTAATATTGAACATGGACTACAAATTGTCAGTACTAAATTAAAATACTTGATTTTGAAAGCAATGAACTTGCAGATTTTCTTACCCTCTTGCAAAATCGAAACGGAAATCATGGAAGCCAACATTATAGCGAAGCCACTTCAGCCACCCAATAATATCTTTTCGAACAAAATGTTGGCTATGATCTATGTTTGGAACTCCATGGAAGTTGTCCCCAGTGCTACGGTTACCCTGGAAGAAAAGTTAATATGTGTAACATAAGTAAACAGTGGAAACACACTCTTTCCATTAAGAAGTTTCAAATCCATAGATGGAAAGTGAACATGATTCAGCCAGTGACCACATATCATTTACATATACACCCACCTACCCATATCATAAATAAATAATACAAAAAATGGGGAAGAGGAAGAAAAAAGAAAATATGGACCATTTCCCTTCTATGGCAACATTTGCGTAAAGATAGTCATTGTACTATCTCTTTCGCTTATTTGGTTTCATTGATCCAATGAGAAAATTTTTATTCCCAACCAGAATAATGCATAAAACCAACTATTTATTTTTGTGGTCACAGAAAGACTAAGGTGAGAACCAAAAGAGGGCCTAAAAGGTAAGTCCTGTCATTGGCATCTAGAACAGTCATCATTTATAAATTAAGTAGTTGATTCTTCTTATCTTTGAACTTGGACCTCAACTTTTGTTGCCTAAACATCTTTCAGCTATGAAGTTCTTTCACTTCTGTCCAGGAGTCATTTCAAACAAGGTTAACTGAATCAACTTGAAGATTAATATCCGTTCCCATGACAATCATTCTATATTGCCACAGTTCTTTGTTCCTTTAATGTTTTGAGACATTTCATGACCAGCCAAAAATACAGTTGACCAACGAATCAAATCAACTTGAAGAATAAAATATTTGTTTGTGCCCACCATTCTTTGACATTTGAAGAAAACTATTGTCATCTGAATGGTACATTTAACTATGTTCAAGCTCTAATCAAGAGATCATGGAAACTAGTTGATTGTTGGTATCAACCAAGGATTCAGATTTTATTGGCTTGGAATTTTGACACTCATCCCTAATTGAAACTGGAAGAAACTAGGCATGAAATGTGTAAGATAAAGTATATATTGGATAAGTATTGGATAGGAAATGGGAATTAAAGTGAAAGAAATAATGCAACTTTTTAATTGGCAAACTTCTTTTATTTTTTTTGTTAGATCTTTGCTTGAAAAGCCAAAATCTTGATGAATTTGAATTTTTTTTTCATTCTAGGACACCTGTAAAAACACCTGACTATGGCAACTGAAGGATCCAATCAACTCCATCCATCCACTACTCAAGAGGTTTTCCTCTTCTTTTTTTATAAATAAGTTATTGGTCAAAGGTACCAAAATGTCTAACAGAATATTGATTATGAAGAAGCCCAAAGTATTTGTAAAAACAATGTGTTGGAAAAAGGCTAATCGATGTCATTGTTTTGCACCTAAGCATGCACCTGAGATTCCCATCAAACAAGGTACCAGAGTTAGCAGATATTAGGACTTCTGGGGAAGTTGACAAAAACTAGGAAATTTAAAGGTTATCTGATTAAAAAACCTAGTCTATAGCAGTATAGTCAATGCAACCTAGCAAGTTTTCTTCTCAAGCATGGCACTCTAATAAGAGCAGTAGATAAAATTTTTAGATGAATGCAGTGCAAACTTAGCTAATTAAATGGCACAGGTTTCCAAGTGGCACAATTCATATGCATGCACTTTTTTATAGTTCTATCCATGCACTTAGAACAAAAGATGCCATGGTGCTTGTTTTTTGGTTGATGACATCATACAGATTGACAAGACTATAGTAGGCTCAGATTCTGTTGAGGGTTAAAGGTCATTCTAGTCTATCAACATTCCAGTAAGGGAGGGTGATTTGATGTGAATTGAGAATTCTAAAGGAGATAGGGGAGACCAAAAGGGATGTGGTGGTGAGAAAAAGATTTTAAGTACTCCCAAATGAGCAGAGGATAGAGTTATTGACAGAATGAAGGGCAAAACTAGGGTTGTGTAGCCATCCCCAAATAGTTGCTAAAGGCAAGGATTTATTGAGTTTATTTGAGTTACATGCATAGTGGAAAAGGAAATTAAGGGATGGACTTAAACCTGAATCAAGTGACCAAAATATGGCACTTATGTAATGAATAGAGACTAATTTGATTGGGGAGCATTCAACCATATAAGATCTAAGTATCCAGATTGTGGAGCAGGAACAGGAACCACCCACCAAATTTGAGAAGTTCCTGGCTTCAGATCATTAATGGAACATTGCATGTTGTGTGTATAAAGCGTGTGAAGTTTATAAATGTATGCATACTATATATACAGTGTATACATTTATAGGGTATCAAATACATACACATATATGCCATATAAGGGTGTTAATTCATTATAGAATGTTTCAGATCCCGCAGCATGAAAAAGTCTCTGACAACCTATATGCCATAAAAGGCACCCAATCCCCACACGTTGTGTCAATTGAATTATAATAAGCAGTTGGGAGCACAGTCAAACCACAAGCCTAAAAATCAGGATTGCGGCCTCTGAGCATTTTCACTTCTAAAATTGAAAAATTCAGTAAGAGTGGGAATGCCCCCCTCATAACCACTTTGGTCCTGGTCGTTAAGCATGAAATGAATGGCAGGAAATTAATTATTGTAATATAAAATATTATATCAAAGAAAACAAGTAGTAATTCTTTTAGGATAAAGTGTGAAATTTAAATATTGAACCATCAAATTTGACAAATAATATCAACAACAATTGCATTTTGAGACTTAAAAAAAACATATAATAGGAATCACAGATCATCAATACAATATGGAATATCACAATATAGGTAACAAAATTTCGTTTTGCAAGTGAAAAGAAAAGTTGAAACAAGGGATGTAAATCCTTCTATTGTCCTAAGATACCGTGATTTAAAGTTGTGTAGAGAAAGATCAATATCTTCAGAGAAATTTTTCTGTCCATATATTACACCAACTTCATTAGGACAATCAAATATAACCCAATGCACATGTAGGACACTGAATTGGTATTTAGTGTATTTATGGAAAATCCAAAATTCACTGTATGCAGAGTAAGAAAAGAAAGAAGGTTTTTCTATATCTAATACTTATGCAGATTTAATAGAAAACAAATTCAAGGTATTGAATGATCCTCACCAATCCACCCGTACAAGATGTGACAGCACGTTCGTCCCATGGTAATGGAATGCCATCATAACGGTTATACATCCCTCCATGACCCGTTGTAGTGCCAACACGATGATTAATAACTATGTCAGCCATCGCTCTAACTTTGTATTGCTTCATCTTTTGAAGCAAAGCTTTTAGTAGTTGCTCAGATCCATATTTAGAGTTGAGAGAATAGAGGTTCTGTGGTAGGTAACCTGAGAGGAAAGAGGAAAAAACAAAAGAAAAGAAAATAGTGTTGCTATCCTGGCTAAATAATAAAAACAATGAATGAAATCTACATATATCTGGTAAACAGAAAATTGAGCAAGAAATCTAGAGAGTTCTCTCTTGCTAACCTTCTGGAGAGAAGGAATTAGTTGATGGTGGCAACCATGCTGATGTAAAACCAGATTTTGCAATATCAGGGACCTTTCTTTCCAAGTTTCTCCACCAATCATATTTATGAGACTCCCAGTTAAAAGCCTGACCACTCAAATTTTATTGAGAATTACTGAGTATACAATTCCTTACCAATTAGCTAATTAAGAATGCACAGAAGTGTGGATAAAACTGTCAGTAAGAATGAAGATATTAATCAATTTTTGATAGATTTGATGAATTATAGATCACAACAACATTTAAGGCATTCTTAGCCAATTGTACCTGGAAAAGAATCTCTCTTCCATTCTGCAATGTTGCACCTACAAATGGTTAAGAAAGCATACTACAATCAACATATACAAGATCCAGAAAATATTCAATCTCAAAATTGGTAGCTGAATTGCTTTCAGCAAAAAAAAATGGTTGTTGAATTACTGATATATTGTCAAACATAAGCATTTTACTTTTCAGGAAAGACAAAGATAATAAACTGATCATGGATTGAACATTTTGAAAGTCTTAACAAATAAAGTAAGTAAAAAAAGGCAAATATGCTGTCAAGAACTCAAGAAGGACGACATGCCTACCAGGATCTGTCCCCTGAACAGTTTCATCATAACTCTGCATTAAAATGAAGGAAGAAATTTAGGAAGAAGATATGGCAAGTAAATCATACTTCTAGGGCGGAGCCATGC